AATACAATTTTGAGTAGGTCCCAAATGTCTTTTGGGGTGGGTCCGAAGATGTGACATGTTCCTTGCCGCATGGCAAGTCACACGGTGAAGACGGTTCGTCAAAACCATTTATGAGTGAATGAGAACTTAACATCGTTTTCGGGTTCGTGGAATGGACATTTAAAGAAGTAAATTGTGGGTTTTCTTGTAAGGCTTGTCCCACAGTGAAAAGTTAAGAGAACTTATGTGTGTATATAAGTTCTAGGTGACAACACTTGAGTTGGGCCCCAAGGGGTACCCCAAGTTTGTAAAAGGGAGGAGTTATGGACAAATTGAACCTCAACTCAAACCACCACACGCATGCGCACGCAGGCGGCTGGCGGAGCAGTGCCGAGCGCGGGTGTGGGTCAGGTCAGTTCTAATGTTAATTTTTTGGACAAAATTCATTTGAATTTTTTCAAAAATTCTTGCGGGGAATTAATTCAAAATTTGCACCAAATTTGAAATCAATTTTACTGTCCATAACAGTGCCTTTTTCGGTCCAAATCCAGCCAATTCAAATTGTTATGCAACAGTTATAAAACTGCTAACAGTTTGGACAGGTTCTAAACTGCCGAACAGATTCAAATATGGTAGCAGGTCTGTCCAGTTTGAATTCTGCACCTGTTCACTTCTTTTTCTACCTGTTCGGGTAGATTGAATGGTCACCAAGTTGCCTATAAATAGAGACCCATTTCTAGCAGTCAATACATCCGAAAACAATCTGAAAAATTCATTTTTGCAGTCCATTTTGCTCTTTCTTTGCATATTTCTTCATATTATATTTTAGGAAATATCTTGAGAGTATACAACACAGGTTTTGTTCGTCGTATAAATTGTTTGGAGTGCTACTACAATTTGTGAAGATCATTATATTCTGGAAGATAGACGCCATTTGCCTGTAAGCACCGTGACGGAACGAATTTGTCTTAAGGACAGAGTGTTGCAGAATCAACTTGATCTTTTAATTATTTATTCGGTTCGGTAAATAAATTTATGTAAGTAATTTATTTTATTTGTTTGATACAATTTCAAATTATTTATTTTACACAGAAGATTGTTTCAATAGGTTAGGAGTTGTTTAGGAATTTAACTTTTTCAGTAATTTTTTGACTTTTTTAAGAGAAAAATTATTCATCCACACAATTTTTTCCTCCCAAATCTCCCTAAATGACGTGACATGCAAAATTTGAAAAAAAAAAATTGAAAAGTTGACTTGTATTCAAATATTTTTTCAAAATTTTTCTTATATGCATTTTGTTTTGCCACCTCATTAAAGGAATTGTGAAAAAAAAATTGTATGTATATAGCACTACGGTAAACTACACCACACTCGTAAATTAATATGACTTGTATTATAGTAGTTTATTCCATTATTAATTTTGCCTACATAACAGTTACGTTAGTAAAACCAATTGAGGAAAAACAATCAGATATTTAAAAAAAAAATTAAAAAAAAAAAGAAAAAAGAAGAAGAAAAAAAAAAGACAAGACAAGCCACCACTCAATGATAGTTCATTAATATACTCCCATATGTCCATACTTAAAGGCACATGTGTAAATAATGTTAGGATTAGAATACAGTTGTAATGTATATCAAATACCAAACAACTTAATTACACCACCCCCATTATCTCTCTTCTCTTTCTCACTTGCCAATTTTTCAAATTCCGTAGTGAAACGCTCACCACTTTTTTTCTTACTACTTTTTTTTAACAGAACTTAATTTAAATTTTGAATTTAAATTTATCAAAAATAAAAAATAAAAAAAATTCACTATACTCCCATATGTCCGTACTTAAAGGCACATGTGTAAATAATGTTGGGATTAGAATACAGTTGTAATGTATATCAAATACCAAACAACTTAATCACACCACCCCCATTATCTCTCTTCTCTTTCTCACTTGCCAATTTTTCAAATTCCGTAGTGAAACGCTCACCACTTTTTTTCTTACTACTTTTTTTTAACAGAACTTAATTTAAATTTTGAATTTAAATTTATCAAAAATAAAAAATAAAAAAAATTCACACAACCATTTTTTAATAGAACCTTTTTTTATTTTTTATTTTTAATGATGTTAGGTTTCTCAATAAAGCCGACCCCTTTTGATGAGACGTAAGATTTGGTTTAGTTTGGTTTGGTTTGGTTTTGGTTTCTCAATAAATATATGTTAAGTATCTGAATAACCAAAGCTACTTGATATATATTTTTTTAATAAACATTTCCAGACAACGTGCAATAAACAATTATTTAAATAGATTAATTCCACCCAATAACAACCCTATATAAAAATAAATTATCAATTTAATATAAAACCAATACTATTTTTGACAAAAATATATGAAAATCCTTGGGAAAGGAAAGCAAACCCGCGTGGGTTGCCTCCTCCTCCCTTTGCCTACTTCTCATTCTTCTACTTGTTTTTGCTTTTGTTCTTTCTTGAGCAGAGAGTGTGTCTCTAGTTTTCCTCTATGTCTCTCTCTTCCTATTTGAACTCCATTATTGCTCAAGTTTGAGCTTTGAATGAGACTCATATCCCAGTTAATGAAAATTGATTAAAACACATCAAAAATCACAAACCCAAACCCAAATTTTAGAAACACAAATCTAAACACAATGAAACCTTTCAGGAATCAAAACACATTTACAAATGAAACCCATTTCAAAACCATCAACCCATTCCCCAGAAACTCATCAAACTATCGACAGTGGAGGACGGAGGCACCGCTACGGGTTAAGATCGGAGAGAAGATTTGAGAATTGAGAGAGAGAAGAGATGAAGAGTTGCTATCGGTGGAGATCGCAGTGTGGAAGCGATGTGACAATGGAGAGTTGCTGTAGGTGGTAGCGATGTTGCATCCGGCAGCAGCAGAGGAGGGAAAGGGAGAAGGAGAGGACACGAAGAGAGAGAAAGTGTTTTGTCGACGGCGTGCTCCTGGCTGAGAGCGACGGTGCCGAGAGAAGAGGTGGTGAGCGGCGGGTTGAAAGGAGAAGAAAATGACAGAATGATAAGAGGTAAAGGAGGAAGAGAGAGAGAGAGAGAGTAGTGGAATGATAAAAGATGAGAGAGAGAGAGAGATGGTTTTGAGAAAGAGAGACCTTGGGCAAAATAAAGCGTGTTAGAGAAAATGTTTATGGGCGGAAATCTGAAATTCTTGGATTGATTCAAACATTTTTGAGCGTTGGATGTTGTTATTAAAAGTCATCTCAGCCATTCAATTGTCCGACAAATGTGTCTAGGACAACTTCAAAAAACCTACTGTCTTCTTATATAGATATAAAAGAACATTGTATAAAAATGTATAAGATATGAAAATATGTGAATTGTGTACTAAATTTTTTAGCATTTTTTAGTGATAAACGGCAACGATTGCGGTGCACATTGTTTAATATTAAGATTTATATAAAAGGTTTCACTAACAAGCCCATGGTGCATAAAATTAAAATAACAAATAAAAAGACAAAAAGAGGTAAAAATTAGGGCAAATTACATATACCCCTTGGAGTTTGGTTAAATTACAAATATCTCCTGAGGTTTGAGAAATTACAAATTCTTCTCTAAATGTTATATTTGCATAAAAAATTAGGGGGTAATTTGTTATGAAAATACAAACCTTAACAGACGGGATGTAATTTTTGAAACCTCAGGGGTATCTGTAATTTAGCCAAACCTCAAGAGAGGTATATGTAATTTGCCCTAAAAATTAAAAGGCATTTTATGCTAATTTCAAAAACACTTATTAATTATTATTTAAAACCCTGAATTGTTTTTAAAAAAATTTCAATCTAAATCATTTATCTATTTTTATTAAGTAAAATCAATAAAAGAATAATATTTTAGTGACTAATATTTCATTGAGTTTAATAATTAAAATATTATTTTTTTTTTGTCAAATTTATTTAATGAAAATAGGCAAATGATTTAAATTAAAAACGAATAAAAATTTTAAGATTTAAATTAATAAATAAAAAATTCAGGCTCAAATACAGATTTTTTAAAAATAATTATTCCTATTTTTTTATTGTTTACAAAATGTGTGCTAAATAGTAAAAATTTTCAGAAAAAGTAAAATCAGTAAAAATATTTTGAAATAAGGCCTCACTTTGGCAACATTCAATTTTAATTTAAAAGTCAAAAATTCTATTTTCTCTTTATTTTACACATTCTTTTATAAAAAATTAAAAAATATCCCAAATATATAAATTTTTTTACTTCATATTTTAGCAAAAAAAATCAAAAATTACTAAAATAGCATGTTCCTAAACAATTGAAAATTGGAGTGGCTATTGTGTACTATGCGGTTGATGTGACTCATTTCGATAATTTGAATCGTTTATTTTTTATAGTATATCGAGCAAAATATATTTATAAAAAATTAAACTGATAAGTTCTTTTATCGAATTATGCTTGTATTTAAAAAAATGATCAGTGTAATTTGAAATATAAAATTGTATACAAATGTAATTCGATAAAAAGGCTGTCAATGCAAAATAGCAAAATTCATAATTTTTAATAAACTCATATTATATTTGAATCATAAATTTGAGTAAGAATTTAAAAAAAAATAAAATTGATAAAATGTGAAAAAAATACATAATTACATCTCACCGACTTTTCCCACACATTTTTCTTCTTCATTTCAAATCATTATCAAAATTAATGATCCCAAATCCGACATTAAAAAATAAATAAATACAAGGGTAAATTACACCAACACTCCTGAGTTGTGGCCCAATTATATTCCACTCTTGACGTTTTAAAAATGACACTCTCACCCTTATGATTAATAATCTCATTTCACAAACATCTACTTATATAAAAGGTAACAAATCCTAATTGAAAAACAAAAAAACTATATTGGTAAATAAATAAAGCCCAGGAAAGGACAGAAAAAGGAAATAAAATAAAGTAAGAAAAAAAAGAACGTATGTTCTATCTAAATAATTAAATGACAGAGAGATTAGTGAAAAAGGGTACCTTCATTTGTTGTTCATCGGTCTTGAACTCGGAAGAATTTGATCGAAGAAGACGTTCATCATCAGCCATTCTGGAGAAGAAAGCTTTAGGACAAATGTTCTTAAGCCTGTACTTCCTACAAAACGGTACCCAATGCTTGGCAAACGCACAAGCTTCTCGAACCGCAAACAGCGTCAACGGAACCCCTCCGTCGTCCGACAAGTACACGGCCAGCTTCTCCACCGGATAATCCAGCGCCAACGCCGATATCACTGTGTTCATCACATCCTCTATCGGCTCCTTTGACGGATCGACAGTCACTATGTACACATCCACCTTCAAGTAATTTGTGTTCCATGTGTTAGCTCATTCATCATGGTGATTCTTATTTTTTCAAAGCTTGGTAGATTGGTCAAGTGACTTTAGATACTTCTTCATGTGTTCAAGTTAGTTTGTTAGACCATCTCCAATTTTGATTTTGATTTCAAATTTGAGGAAAATTTTGATTTAATGTAAATTACTCCATTTATTTCATCAATTTTTTTTCAAAATCTTTTTAAAAAAATTCTTCTTATCTCAAATTTTTTTATTTATATTTTTATTTTTATTAAATTTGATGAAAAAAAATCATTTTCAATGTTTTATTTTTTAAAATTTTTATTAAATTCAAATTTAATAAAAGATTTGATGCCTTGAAAGAAAATACTATGAAAGACTTTTGAATTTTTTTTTTCTGATTATTTTAGATTGATTAAAAAAGTTTCCTTTGAACTTTTAATTTTTTTTTTATAATTTTGTAAAAAAAAAATAATTATAATTTAAATATATATTTTATCTTATTAAGTTTTTAACTTATTTTATTTTTTAATAGGCTAATTAATCCTAATTATCTTGCCAAATTGGACCTGAAGATGCTCTTAAATCATCTTAAACCTTTCATTTTCCTACATGAAATTTATTTTAATAGTTCAGATAAAAGCTTGATTTAAAGAAAATAAAGTAATTTTTTAACTTTTTATTTAAAAACTATGAAATAAAATACAAATAAAGAGTTTAACTTTTTATCAAATCCTTCTAAAAATTACACCATCATCTCAAAAAGTTCTTTTATTAACCATCAACTTTTAACAATTTCATCAAATTCAAGTGCAAAAAAAAAGTTAGAAATTTGAAAGAAAAAAAAAACACATGAGTTCATCCATACAAGTTTAATCAATGAATTGAATCCCAATTGAAGATGCACTTAGTTTTTTTTTTCTTCCCCTCAAATATTCTATTGTATTGCATAAGAGATCGATTTAGGATGATTGAGTTGAGAATAATATATGTATATATATATATATACCATAGGAAGGTCTGAATCGGGGATGGTGATGTTCTCGGGATGAACTTCTCTGATGAGGGGGCGCAACCGGAAGGCTTGTTGGACGAGCCATGTGATGGCCAGGAGAAGCTCCGCGAATGTCATTAGAATCCATGGAAGTAGCGGCTGCGCGTCGCCGGAGAAGAGGCGCGTGAGGCGGTAGTTGAATAAGCCTAAGACGGCGACGCTGTGGAATACCGTGTGTATTCTGTTTATGTTGGTGGAAGGTTGTGGAGTTGTATAGCTATGGAGAACCTTTGATGGATCTCTCTCTCTCTTCATTCTCTCTCTCTCTCTCTCTCTCTCTCTCTCTAGCTGCTCTGTTTTCTCTCAGTCTCTCACTGTGGTCGCAACGGTCTTTTTATGTACTCTTATAATTAAGGTTATTTGACATGATTGATGATCGGTATAAGTGTTGGTATAAAGTTTTTTTATTCAGACCATATTTATTTTTTATTTTTTTATATATTTTTATAAAAAATTAAAAAATATATTTATTTAAATTATTCCTAGCAATCCTTGCACAAATTCTTCTCAAAACCACTATTGTTTTAGTGCCCTTTGTATTTTGGCCACCTTAGTTTCACAGACTGTAATTTGGAAAGAATAAAAAATACCCCATACAAACTAAACAAAATGGGGTAGGGGTGGTTGTGTGCCTTTAGACACAGCAGTACTGTTGCGCTTTAATATGAAATTTATTGTCACTTTTGTTTTATAATTTGAATAGTTTATTTTGTATAATTTATTGAGTATGTTAAGCATGTTAAAAAATATATTAATTAGACATCAATAATCATGTGATCTGATTACATTTGTTATATAAAAAAAACAATTTATTTTTCTTTTAAAATAGTATCAAAAATATGGAAACCGATCACATAATTACTAATATTCGATCAATATAATTTTTTATACGTATTAAATACTCGATAAACCCCATAAAATGAACAGTTTAAATCATAAAAATAAATCCATAATAAGTCTCAAATAGAGACACAACGGTTAATATTGTTTCAAAGGTACAATAACCCTTACCCAACACGATACCACGACATTTAAAAGAGGTGAATGAATGAGATTTTAACATATTACACAAGTACGGCATAAAATTTGTGATATGGCTTATATTTATTTTAAACATAGATTATAATGAGTTAAATTTAAATTATATAATAAATTTCAAAGCATTTTTTTTGGATATATATTTTTATTAATAAGGTTAAGAAAAGGAGTTAATAATAAATTTTATAAAATCTTATTTATTCATGTATTTTGTGAAATTATAGAGATCTAAAAATTAACACCTATTATGACATAGTTTGGGAAGTTGGTTTTGGTGGGTTAGGGGCTAAAATAGTCACAAAAAACAAAATAGGCTATTTTAGCCACAAAAAATAAAATATCAAATCCAACCCATAATCATTATACTCCTCTCTCACAAAAAAAGTTAAAAAAATCAAAAAGCTAAAAAGTCCTTCCCAAACTAGGTTTTTTAGCCCCAGGCTAAAATAGCCAAAAAGCCAATCCACTTCCCAAACGGAGGCTATATGTTACATCATTGTAAATTAAATTGAGAGAACATTTTAGAAATTTCAAACATTTTTCAGAATTTGTATTTATATAGATAATACATGATTGAGATTAACTTTTATACGGTGCAAATCATATGGTAAGTATATTTGGGTACTGATATTTAGATTATTGAAAAACTTAATGTACACTATTCTTAAAGACATGATCCAATAGGCGTAGATGATATGAGATAGGAAGACATGAAATTTTGAGGATAAAGATATGGTGTCACATATCTCACATTTGATTCCACATATATTTATTAATATAAATCTCCTCTTGTCTTGAAGGATAAAATACACTCATTATTTGTAAAGTATGCATTCCATAATTTGCATGTAGCCTCTCAAATATATATTTTGTATTACTTTAGTTTTTAGAATTTAAATTTTATTTCTCATCACTGTAAAGTTATGTTTTGTGGTCTTTATCAACAATTTAGGCAAAATGACAAAATAAAATTTTCAAATGATCAAACTAACATATAACTAGATGGTTCCATTACATAATTTAGGCGGTAGAATCACAAAATTATGTATGTATTTATTATCATTTCATTAATGATTTAGATGGTTCTAATTGAAGCAATCTATCTCGAATTGTATATTCTAAAAATAAAATTGATAAATTAAAATTTTTAAAAATAAAATAACATAAAATAGGACTATCAATATATTTTATTCCTAATAAAAAATTGTATAAACTCACTATTTGTATAGTATCATTTTTCTCACATATATGGCATAGTATGGCTATATCACTTATTATTGAGGAGAGGGGTAGTGTATATGATTATGATGTTTGTGGATTTTAGCAATCTTTATGTAAATATTATTCATTAAAGTAAACTTGAATAAATTTACAATTTAGTCACCTGTCCCAATGCATGTTTGCCTATTCATGGTCTTTGAACAAAGAGCACCTCACTCGTGAATCAAACAAGAAAAAAAAAAAAAAAAGAACACGTCACTCAATGGGGGTATTTTGGAAACTTCATAAAAAAATTAAATTTTAAATTTTTTTAGTTTTTTTAATTAAAAAAGTCACAAAAAATTAATTTTTTTTAGTCAAAAAAGTCAAAAAAAAAATTAAAAAATTAACTTTTAACTAAATTTTCAAAATATCCAAAACTCTTGCTAACTAACTAATGTTTTAAACACAACAAAATAACACCAAGGATCCTCTAGAGTGAAATTTCTCTAAAGTTTCCTAGAGTGCTACATTGTGTGATATTAATTTTTAAATTTTTTTAGTTTTTTTAATTAAAAAAGTCACAAAAAATTAATTTTTTTTAGTCAAAAAAGTCAAAAAAAAAATTAAAAAAATAACTTTTAACTAAAATTTCAAAATATCCAAAACTCTTGCTAACTAACTAATGTTTTAAACACAACAAAATAACACCAAGGATCCTCTAGAGTGAAATTTCTCTAAAGTTTCCTAGAGTGCTACATTGTGTGATTGAGATTTACTGGCAAGTCACATCAGAAAAATTGATGTGACTTGCCAGTAAATCTCAACCACACAATGTAACACTCTAGGAAACTTTAGGAAAAAATCACTTTAGAAGATCCTTGCTCTCAAAATAAAGGGATCTAACCAACTATATGGGTCATTGGGTGATTGCAGGTTTCACTCAAACTATTCGAATTGTTTAGGTTAATTTATTGCATTTATTTTTTAAAACAAATGATTTAAAATTTATATATTCAATATAAAAATAAATATAATGAGAAATTTAATTTAGATATTGAATAATGTATCTTGAGGGAGACATTTTTTAAATTAAAATCTAAATAAAGTATAGGTTCCAAGATAGTTACTAGTAATAAATGAAGGAGGCCTGGTTTCCACGTGGCCCGCGAGTTCCTTCCACGAGGTGTGAGTTTTTGTCGTTTTCCACTTGATTCAAAAGTTATGTACTAATTAATAATATATATATATATATATATATTTTCCTTCTGTAGACTATTCTAGTCCGTATGGGCATATTAAATTAAAGTCCCTATAACTTGGATAAATCTTCTGATACAGTCCGTGATTTTAATGTTGTGTTTGGTTAAGGGATTTAGGGAGAGATTTAGAAAAGAAAAGGGAAAAGGTGTGTGAAAGTAAGTGAAATATAGACCTATTTTATTTATATTTCACCTACTTTTTCTATTTTTCTTTTCAAATTCTTCTCTAAATCTCTCAACCAAACACAACATAAAAATTTTGCCGGCGAGAACACTCAACTTTAAAAAGGAGTATATCTTAAAATCTCAAGTCTCATATATGAGCCATACCTTAAAAAATATGTATCAAAAAAAAACTTTGTTTGATAATACTAAAATTTTGTTATTACATTTATCTTTAATGCTTGAAATTATTATTATGTCAAAATTAAATACTTAAGATATAGCCCTTATCATGTTGTTTTACTACTTTTCATTTAGGCACAGCTTGCCTCCGGTCCTTAATTGGAATGGACGGTGCTATTCGGTCTGTGGAGATCCATCACGGGTTATATTTTAATAATCTGAACTGTTCAATATGTAGAATCCATCGAGTATTATATATTTGTAAAAAATTACGATGATCGAATATCGATACCTATGTAATCAAATCAGTTTTGTATTAAAAAAAATGAACAGTGAACAAATTAACAGTTGACAAAAAATTGATAAGATGAAATGGTTATCGATATCCAATTAAAGTGATTTTTTACAAACATATAGTACTCGACGAATTCTATATATTGAACGATTCAAATTATCAAAACAAGACCCGTGATGGGCCCTCACAGACCAAATAATACCGTTCAATCCAATTAAAGACTAGAGGCCAGTTGCCCTTGTCGTTTATGAGGATATATTAGTTAGATGCCACATACTAGTTGGCTATTTAAATATTTAATTAATATATATATTACAGACATATGATACATGGATAAAGAGATAGTTATTACTATAATTTAGCAATAATGTTAAAATATTTAATTATAACAATTTTGCTCTAATGATATAATGTAAAATAAATTTAATTATTCACACAAAATGTCAAATTAAAATGATATATGTTGATCTTGGAAGAAAGAGAGAGACACAAAGATTTTAGTTATAGATAAAACTTGTGCTATATTTGACACAATATTTACCTATAAGTAATATATAGTAAGTTATATGTCTTACCATTAGAATGGAAATTTGAAAATTTTAAGACAAAATATAACAATAGCAAAGTATATAAAATACCATTGGAGATGCTCTAAAAAGTGATAAAATAAATAACAAAACTCCTATTAGGACATCTCCAACGGTGCGTTACTTTTTTCACCAAATTTGGGTAAAAATGCTCTTTGATATCGCTTGCTCTAACGGAAGGATTTGACTTTTCATCAAACCACCGATTGACTGCCTGTTCGACCAGCCAATGTAAAATTTTCACAATGGGACAAAGAACAACATCAGTGACCAAAATGATAAGGGGTCATTCGGGAGATCGACCTTTTAGTGTAAAATTTTTACAAAATTTTGCTTGAGGTAGTCATTCGGGAGGACATCTAGGGGACATCTGGTTGTGAAAATACAACGGTAATGAATAATGATTTGATGAAAGGCACAAAGCATTCTCAGTTTGGAGAAATATTTTGTATATTCTCAATTTGATATAGGTTTAATGAAACCATTGAAAGAGTAAAAAAAAAAAAAAAATTTCATCAAATTTAAATTTAGGTCAAGTTTGGCTATCCTAAATAAGTACACACTTTTTATCTTTTTATCTTTTTTTTATCACATCATCTCTCTA